AAATTAATTTGATTTATAGACATCATGACTTTCTACCTAGAAAATCCCAAAGAATCTACAAAAAACACTTAATCAGAGTACACAAAATCACCAAAGCAGAAGATCTGCAACAACTGCGCTCAAGAAAAAGCTTGGCTTAATCAGTGTAGTGATCAGGCATCTCCAGAGACCGTGGCAAAGGCAGGCTGTAAGAAATTGCCCCTTTTCCGTATGTTGGTTGCAGACATTATGGAAACCTGAAATCTAGTTGCGACATGTCACGCTTGCTTTTTCTGCACCTTCCTCTGATATTTTGGTGGGGGGTGGGGGCAAATTTGAGAGAGGTAAATTACTTGAAGAAGATGATGCTCACCAGAATGAGGGAATGCTTGATGTGGAACATAAATCAAATTTGATCATTAACTGCCATTGTCATTGTCAACAGATCAAGAGAGAAAAAATAGAAATTGTGATTACAGGATTGCTGAGCTGGGCTTTCTCCAATAATAATATGACCAAAATAAAATACAAGAAGTCCTTTTGGCCTCTGACATCACATCCTGGAGTAGATGATTTACCGGTTGGTCATCTGCTGTGCTGCAAGAATGAATGTAGCTACCGTGGATATGTACTTTCCTATCAGCAAGGATGGGCCCCGGTTGCTAGTATTATTTCTAAGATTTCTTCTTAGAAACCTGAGCTAAAATATGCAAACCTCTGTATTATACCTTAAAAAGCAGTATTTCATAAAGTCATATTTTAGTTTGTTAATTCATTAAATGATAGAATACAAATGGCTATTTTGGCACTTATAGTTAACTGGAAACTTTTCAATGAAACTAATTGTTTTATATTATCTAAATGTTAAATATAATTATTTTCTTCATTTCCTTTAAACATTTTCTTGAGGGTAATTTTTGGTCTTATATGTCAATATTCTAAATAATTATGGCATTGTACTTTGTCACTTAAAAGAAAACGAACTGATGCACCACAAAAGCCAAGTATTAAACTTGTATTTTATCAAAGGCCTTGTAAATATAGTAGTGTAAGCAGTAGAGCACTGTAAAGACCCCATCTGGGACTTATAAATGGATATACAAAGTACCTATTATAGGTTTTGTTCAAATCTATGGCAATACATTGTATAATTGCACAAATACTGATTTACTTTGAGAACCCAAAATGGATTATGAACACCATGAAAGATGGCCCAGTTTTAACAGGATGTTCCTGGACAAGTCAGGAGCACAGTCTAAGGTACAGGGGCTAGTCCTCAGTTGCAGCTGACCTTTTTTTTTTTTTAGACAAAGTCTCGCTCTTGTCGCCCGGGCTGGAGTGCAGTGGCGTGATCTCGGCTCACTGCAACCTCTGCCTCCCGGGTTCAAGCAATTCTCCTGCCTCAGCTTCCTGAGTAGCTGGCATTACAGGTGCATGCCACCATGCTGGCTAATTTTTGTACTTTTAATAGAGACGGGGTTTCTCCATGTTGGCCAGACTAGTCCCACACTCTTGACCTCAGGTGATCCACCTGCCTCAGCCTCCCAAAATGCTGGCATGAGCCACTGTGCCCGGCCACAGCTGACTTTTCCTTGGCACATGAGTCTCATTCCTCTGTGCTCTGACTCTAATCCATTGTAGGCAAAAATTAAATCAGTGAAAAGAATGATACCATCTCATAGAGGATCTCAGAATTAGAAAAGCCTGTACCATTTCTTTAAATGTAAGAGATTCTTGGTTGGCTTAATCAAAATTATATAGCAGAGTGTGTTATATGCCATAAGGATCACTGTGAATGAATAAAAACTATTTCAAGAGTTTTGAATCTTTGCTATACGTGTGTGTATGTGCATGAGTTCTTACTTGTATGAATTCAGTAATACATAAAATGCCCAGGTGATATGTGATGTGATTAGGTTAGAAAAACACCTCATGCTAATGGCCCCAGTGCCATTAGCAACTTATGGCCTAGATTTGATGAAGAAATACGCTTCTCTCATTTTAACAGTGGTATCATACAGAGAGTTATTTATATGCATGCTCTGGATAAAAAGCTCAGCACAACTCCAGTTTTAAAATAGATAATTAAAAATCTGTATATTTCAAACAAGATTTCCAGATAGCTATTGGAGGGGGGGAGATACTGTTAAGATATGTGTACACATATATCAACCTCAAATGTAAATTCATTTAAATTCTTAATTGATAGCAAACTAAAAAGAATTATTTCTAAACAGAACTTAGAAGTTAATTTTAATGTAATAACAACATCATAACATCATAAATCTTAACTGAGAAGCAGCTGTTGGTTTTTTCCAATCCATTAGTTATGGTATTTCAAGCTTCCATAAAAGTACTGAATCTAGATCTTTAAAGATAAATTTTTCTAGCTCATATCTTAAGGTTACTAAAGCAGACATGATTACTGCAGGAACAAATGTTTTGTGTGTTTATTTCTTTTTTATTGCTAATGGTTTATATGCTAATAATAAAATGCATATTATGTCTACTAAATACCTGGAAACAACAGAATTTGCTTGCCTGTTTCTTAGCTTTACTGGGAATTCCTTAAAGTATAATTTGACATTAAGTTCCTGTAAAGGTAATACATTTAATCTGAATATCTCATTCAAACTTTTGCAGATAGGGGATGCTTATTCCTGTATAAATATTGACTCAAAATGCTCTTAATAAATGCCGTTTCTCCAATTCAAGAGAAAAAATAATCATGGTGGTTAATATTTAACCACCATTAACATACACCTATTAAACATTCCATTGCAGAGTAGTGGTTTGTTTTATGGAAGGACAGTAATCAAAGCAAGTTAAGACAGTTTTCTATAGTCAAATGTACTGGCTTCTCATTGTGCTATATTCCTTTTCATGTGTGGACACATGGAGAAATATTTCTTTTTCCACCAATCTGAAACTTTGCAGGTTGGCTCAAACAGACTCCATATACAGTGCAAAGATTACATGGTTATATTTATAACACCAACAGACATATTTGAAATCAGAGTATAACTGATATTTAAATTATATGACATTGGCTGTGTATGTTACTGAAAATAAATTACAACCAATCTTCATTTTTGTTTTAAATTTCTAATGATGGATATGCCTTTATATGTCTAATATAAACATTTCCATTTAGAGATAACATAGATGAGATAAATGGCTCTCTATTGATGTTGCCCTAAGAAACCTAGGGCCATCTGAATCCTTTTTAATTGGGTAAATGTAGGCTTTTTGTTGAGGTTATCATGTACCTTTATGCAAGTAAATCGAAGTCCTAAATATTGCTTATTAAAATAGTGGAACACTGAATATCATGCTTTTGAGCCCGTTCTCAATCTTGTATTCTTAGAGAAGGGAGCACTTGTTTTAAAGAATTGAAGTATTCTGTATTACTCCTCTTAAAATGTTACTATTTGGAAGAGCTAAAGACCTAAATTCTAATCCTAGCTTTGCTACAGAAGAACTCTGAGGATTTAGGCAACTAAAATCTTTGACCCTCATGTTCCTTGCCTGTGAATTATGGTGCAAAATAGACCATTTCTAAATGTGCGTCTAGCTCTCACTGATCTCTAAGGGGTATTAAACACACAATGTGTTCTTGATTTTCTCATTGGAACAGGTGGATGATATTGCCAAGCACTTGGTGTTTGGGGCCAAATGATCAAGAGACCAGTCAAGGTTTAGAACAAAATTGTAAGGAAATTTCCTGGGAAGCAGAAGACAGATAAGGTAATAATTTTGTTTGCTCAGAATAGTGTACTTTTTTGGCAGTCATAAAAAATTCTATTTATTCAATAAAGAAAAAATATAAATATATATATATGATTGTAGGACTTCAAATATGGTTCACTAAAAACTTGGTGTACCAAACACAATCAGGCTCTTATTCACCCCCAAAAGTCCCAGCCTTGAAGCCCTTTCATGCAGTTGTGGCTTTGTTGAGTGATGAAATAACTGGGAATATAGCACATAGTAGTTGATAAAAAATTTATCCCTATGTTAGAAAAAAGAAAGTCAGCATAGATATTGTCATTCTCTAGAGAAATGCAACCCTAGTTTAATATTCGTTTTGTGTCCAATGAGTATTATAAAAATGCATAGTGGTATAATAGAACATAGAAAATAACATACCTAATGTAAATGACGAGTTAATGGGTGCAGCACACCAATATGGCACACGTATACATATGTAACAAACCTGCACGTTGTGCACATGTACCTTAGAACTTAAAGTATAATTAAAGAAAAAGAACATAGAAAATGAAAAGTCACTTTGACATCTTTAACATGTGGAACCTTGAGGAACTTTGTAGATAGATACCCTTATAAGACTGTAGCACTCTAAACAGGGCTATCAAAATGTCCACCCACATGATACCTGCTTTAATGAAAAGCTCAGTACCAGTTTCAGACAATTTAAAAATCTTAGCCTTTATTATATTGAAATCAAGTCAAATTATTTTTCCATTATGATCCCTTTTGAAATAAGCTTTCACACATTTCTAATGCTTTCTTCAGAACAGCTCATATAAATTAATTTTTTTTAAAAAAATTCTTTCATTTCAATTTAATCTATTAATACTTTAGATCTCATTCTCAGGTAAAAATTACTTTATTGCATGTAAAGTAATTGCAAATAGAATATAGTTCACAATTTTTTTCCAAATTAAGCTTGAGCCTGTATAAAAATATTTTTAAATGCCCAACAATATTCAGATATTATTTGCCATGTTTCTGTTTTCATAGGAAGAGATAATATGTTTCATAAAACTACATATCTAAAAGGATAATCTGATTTGTAAAATTATAAATTTTAGTTTTCAGTCAAAACCACCCTGAACGTGAACTTATCAGAATCTTGTCTGAGTAACTGCAACCCCTCCGCCAACCTTAAAAAACACACCACAGCCCCACTCTCCACCAGTGTGGCCAAACCAAGGGAAACAAGAAGCAGGAACATAGCTACACAGGTCAGAGCCAAATACGAAGAGTAAAAATAGTACCTTGAGCTTTCAGAACCACAAATTTTCAAAGTGAGCCAGAGGGCAGAGCAGCAGTTACATTTTCAAACAGAAGTAACTACATCTTTCTAATCAACTGCCGTGTTATGGAACATAAACTGCAGGAAATGATGTCTTAATGTCCTTTTCTGTATCAGATAAGCAGGAGGAAGTATCAGTGGTGTGCTTTACTTAGTGAGTGAAGTTTAATAAATATATTCAATAAATATCTTCCACTTATGTCCTTTAATGCAGTAGAATGCTTTTCAAAAACCATTCAATTTGTGTGTACATTGACCAGAAAGTGTTCTACATAAAAAACTGTATTTTGCTTGGGTTTTGAGATGAATGTTTCATGAGATAGCTGTATATGTATGAAAATTATTTAAATATGAGGAAAATGTGATATTCATCCTGTATTTCTCTAAAGCAGGATTTTTTCAACCTTGATACAAGGTTGACATTTGGGATCAGATAATTATATGTTTTTTGTGGGTTGTCCTATACATCGTAGGATATGTAGCAGCATTTATGGCCTCTACCCACTAGATGTCATTAGCATCTCCACCCTCAGATGTAACAACCACAATGTCTCCAAATGTTGCCAAATATCCCCTGGCAGAAAATCATCCCTGGTTGAGAACCACTATTTAAGGAAGCAAGATAGCATAAGCTTGGTCAAGATTACATGTTGGTGTTTTGTCAGTACAATTTAGAAAATAAAATCCAGCAAATAGCGTGGTCTTCACAAAGCAATTTTACTGTTTCTTATTTATTGAAACTTTTTCTTATGTTTGTTCTTCTTCTTAAATGGATTAGTTGTCCTGGGTGGATTAGTAAATAGTTTTAATTAGTTGAATAAATTTGTTATGAGAGCTAAAATTCCTGACATACCATTGCCCTGACATACCAGCAAAATGATAATGATGATATTCAATTAAACATATCAAATAAAAGCCTGCAAAATTCAACAGACTGAAGTCCATATTCTGGAATTTGACAGAAAAAAAAATTGTGGAGGTTATAATTTTTTGACAAAGAGGCCCCTAAGTACACTTGCAATCAATGGCTACATGCATAGTTCAAAATGTCATCTTTATTACTTCTGTTTAAATTTGTTTCTAGAATAGTCTCCAAGAATGTAGCTTTTTCACTTTGGAAACTCTTACTCAGACAGATCCCCAGTAAAGCATGGTAATGTAGTAGCTTAAGAACAAGTTCCTCCTTCTATCTGCCCTTCTTTCTCCCTTATATGTGAGAAAAGTGGAATTTCACAAGATGACTCTATTCATAAGTCTTGATAAAAGTCACCTTTACGAATGCTTTTACACTGTTTTGGGAAGTGTAAATTAGTTTAACCATTGTGAAAGACAGTGTGGCAATTCCTCAAAGATATAGAATGAGAAATACCATTTGGCCCAGCAATCCCATTACTGGGTATATACCCAAAAGAATATAAGTCATTCTGTTATAAAAATACATGCCCACATATGTTCACTGCAGCACTATTCACAATAGCAAAAACATGAAATCAACCCAAACACCCATCAATGATAGACTGGATAAAGAAAATGTGGTACATATACACCATGGAATACTATGCAGCCATAAAAAGGAATGAGATCATGTCCTTTGCAGGAACATGGATGGAACTGGAAGCCATTATCTTCAGGAAGCTAACGAAGGAACAGAAAACCAAACACCACATGTTCTCACTTATAAGTGGCAGTTGAACAATCAGAACAGATGGACACAGGGAGGGGAACAACACACCCTGGGGCCTGTTGAGGGTTGGGGGAGGGAGAACATCAAGATGAATAGCTAATGCATGTGGGGCTTAATACTTAGGTGATGGGTTGATAGGTACAGCAAACCACCATGGCACATGTTTACCTGTGTAACAAACCTGCACATGCTGCACATGTATCCTGGAACTTAAAATTTTAAAAAGTCACCTTTATGGGTTTTGTTTTTGTTTTTACTTTTGCTTTTGGTTTTCCAGTCAGGGGAATATTGATAATTGCTAAACATTAGGAGGTGGTAAGAATGCAGTAAAAAAAAACTTTGACATTGTTTAGAAAGACTTCTGAAAACAAGCATATTGAAAATATTGCATATGTGGGCCAGGCACAGTGGCTCACACCTGTAATTCCAGCACTTTGGGAGACTGAGGTGGGTGGATCACCTGAGGTCAGGAGTTTGGGACCAGCCTGACCAACATAGTGAAATCTCGTCTCTACTAAAAATACAAAAATTAGCCAGGCATGGTGGTGGGTGCCTGTAATCCCAGCTACTCAGGAGGCTGAGGCAGGAGAATCACTTGAACCTGGGAGAAGCAGGTTGCAGCGAGTGGAATTTGTGCCACTGCACCCCAGCCTAGGCAACAGAATGAGACTCCATAGAAAAAAGGAAGGGAGGGAAGGAGGGAGGGAAGGAGAGAGGAGGGAGAGATAGAGAGAGAGAAAAGAGAGACAGAAGAAAGGAAAGGGAAGGGAAGGGAAGGGAGAAAGGAAGGAAGAGAGAGAGAAAGAAAGAGAAAGAAAGAAAGAAAAAAGAAAGAAAAAGAAAGAGAAAGAAAAGAAAGAGAAAGAGGAAGGAAGGAAGGAAGGAAGGAAAAGAAAGAGAAAGAAAGAAGACAGAATATATTGCTCATGTGTATCTTATATTAGCAACTTCAAATTTCCTTTACCTTTTAGTATGAGGCAAAATTCTAAGATGCCTAGAAAGTGTTAGACCTGTCAACTTCCAGGAAGGATGAGATCTGCTTCCACACTGCACACTGTCCAGAAGGTTAGGACTATGTGTCACTTGGTTCAAAGATGACTTCTAAGTGGTACCTGGAGATACTGAAGTAGACCATGTGGTTTTGTCTTTATTTTCAGAAGAATATATTGTGTTTCCTAACTCTATGTTTTTCTATATTATCCACAGAAAAAGAGCATGAGTCTTTCTGATTCTAGGAAGTACTTCTGTCCTAAGAGTAATAAAGTAGGAAAGATCTATTGTTCCACCAACAGTAGTTTCAGCTAAATTCTTATATTTGAGGCCATGTTCTCAGGTACACAATACATCAATGAAAGAAATACTTATTCACAAGACAATGTGCACCCTTTTGTCTTAAAGAAAGAAACACGTGGCACATTTCAGACGGAAACTAAACACAAACAAAAGTTTTTGCCCAAAAATACAACAGAGGAAAAAAAGTATTAGAAGTATGAAAAAAGTACTAGCAAGGACCAGTTGTCCACTTAGGTAAAGGGGCAGGAACTAAAACACTTTTGTAGAGGTTATCCCATTTCTAAGTATAAATATTCATATGTGGAAATATCCATAACCCATGTGGATATTACATAGTTTATTGTCCTTTCTACTTTTAGAGCTATTACTGTAAAATTGTAATTACTTTAGACATCTAATGTGCAGATATAACCTTAATGAATAACCCAAAGTTCTCATTCCTTATTTCTCTTAGGTGCAGATTTTAATGTCATCCTAGAAGGCTAGAATATGAAAACCAATGATTTACTCAGGGAATGAGCCTGGCCTACCACCCAGGAGCCAAATTTAAAGTTATTGTTGTATTTCCCTCATTCTCTTCTTATTGTGGAATACACCCTAATTATCCCGAAGTACTTATTTTATTATGGTAAAAAAAATGGGTCAGAGTACATACCTATTAGAATGACTAAAATCCAAAGCACTGACAAAGCCAAATGCTGGTGAGGATGTGAAGCACCAGGAACTCTCACTCAATGCTGGTGGGAAAGCAAAATGGCACAGCCACTTTGGAAGACAGTTTGGCCATTTCTTACAAAACTGAACTTACTCTTTATTTTTTTTAATTTATTTTATTATACTTTAAGTTCTAGGGTACATGTGCACAACGTGCAGGTTTGTGTACATGTGCCATGTTGGTGTGCTGCACCCATTAACTCGTCATTTACATTAGGTATATCTCCTAATGCTATCCCTCCCCCCTCCGCCCTCCCCACAATAGGCCTCGGTGTGTGATGTTCCCCTTCCTGTGTCCAAGTGATCTCATTGTTCAATTCCCACCTATCAGTGAGAACATGCGGTGTTTGGTTTTCTGTTCTTGCGATAGTTTGCTGAGAATGATGATTTCCAGCTTCATCCACATCCCTACAAAGGACACAAACTCATCGTTTTTTATGGCTGCATAGTATTCCATGGTGTATATATGCCACATTTTCTTAATCCAGTCTGTCACTGATGGACATTTGGGTTGATTCCAAGTCTTTGCTATTGCAAATAGTGCCACAATAAACATACGTGTATATCGTGTGCATGTGTCTTTATAGCAGCCATGATTTATCATCCTTTGGGTATATACCCAGTAATGGGATGGCTGGGTCAAAATGGTATTTCTAGTTCTAGGATCCTTGGGGAATTGTCACAGTTTTTCCACAATGGTTGAACTAGTTTACAGTCCGCGCAACACAGTGTAAAAGTGTTCCTATTTCTCCACATCCTCTCCCGCCAGCTGTTTTTTGTATCCCTTTCGAAGTAAGAGACCGATGGGGTCATTTCACAGGTTTAGGCACGGCTGACCGGTGTCTTCTGGTATCTCCTTCCGACTTTTCTTAAAATGATTGCCGCACTGAACTCACTCGTGATCCGCCCGTCTTGGCTCCCAAAGTGCTGGGATTACAAGGCTTGGAGCCACCGCGCCCTGGCCAGATGGCAAATCATTAAAAAGTCCAGGAAACCAACAGGTGTGGGAGAGGATGTGGGACGAAAAGGAGAACCACTTTACACTGTTGGCGGGACTGTAAAACTAGTT